AGAGCCGAAGTAGCAACTTCTAGAACTTCCTAGGCTATGTTTGACTGAACCGTCGCTACACTTAGGGCTAACCTACGGACTGGCCCTAGGACTGCTAACATTATGGTCTACGGTTCAAGTCCACGCGACCCAGACTACATACGTAAAAACTACATACGTAAAACATTTGTATGCGAGTTAAGGGACAGGTTGCGGGTTCAAGTCACAAAGGGTCAACGGGTAGCTGTACAGGGGTTCAGGGATAGGTCTAGGGATCGATCCCTGCGATGTGCAATTGTCCTCTGAATTGGGTGAAGCCTTTTCACTCCTGCCGTCCTAAATTCGAGGTTCTCCGAGAACTTTCTATTCCAACGCAGGACCTTTACCCTTTCTTGCTCTGTCATAGGCATGAACTATGTTGGGAGCGGTTTCTAGAAGTTCGGTTCTTGTGAACCATCTGTTGTCCTCGGGTTCTTGGTAAGCAAACCTGACTTCTTATTGCTTATGTGGACGACCTGTACCTCCAGTCCTGAACACATCTTCTGCTAGTATTCGGTTTATATCATATGTGCCATCCATATCGGGCGAAATCATTGACCTCTGCGATGGGAACTGCTGACTGGTGACACAAGGCAACAACTTTGACGCGTGGAAGACTGGATACGTGTGGAGGTGTGGTGGAATCTCTATTGTGTAGGATGGTCCATCCTCTCCACCCTTGACTTCTAGGACAGGTCATGGCCCTCTGTACACGGGCAAAAGCTTTTGGGAGATGTTTTTCTCTAATGCGAATCCCTTCGACTTAACCGAGACTAGATCGCCTATCTCGAACTGTGAGGGTTTGTGATGCTTGTTCGCTTGCTCAATCATGCGATGCTGGGCCTTCCTAAGGTTTTCGATCACCCTGGCGACCTCCTTTTCGTGCTGCAGTGCAAACTCTCTAGTACTGGGAGGTAACCTCTGAATCTGGTCTCGGTTCAGTCCCTCAAATGGCCTTCGTGGCCAAGGACTTATGCAGCTCGTTAGGAGTTCGATATGCAGCTAGGTGTACACTGTTGTTATAAGCGCTAGCTACCTTCGGAAGCATCTCGTCCCAATTCACTTGATCGGGTCTAATATACGTTCTGAGTAATTGTTGCAAGTTCTTATCATCTGCTCTGTCTGGCCTTTTGTCTCTGGTAGACGACCGGACGGCATCAACAACTTAGAGTCGTAAACGTTCATAACATCTCGCCAGTTTTGGCTGGTAAACCGCGTGTCTCGATCACTAACTATTGACAACGGTATCCCATGCTCACTCACGCAAAAATCGAAGAACTTCTCTATAACTAGGTATGTTCTTGCCTCTGCAGGGAAAGGTACGGAAACTGCATACTTGCTAAATTGGTCTATTATGACCATGACTTGGCTTTTGCTATGCCTACTCCTGACACCGGTATCCATGAAGTTAATGGAAATTGATTACGTGGGTCTTGCGGGGATAGGCAAGGGTCTAAGGAGACC